TGTGTTCTCCGACCTGACTTTGCAGCTCACCAAACTGGAGGGGCTTATTGTTAGAGATGGGTATATTCAAATCCTGAAAGAAAAAGAAAGCGGAGCCCGGGAAGAAAAGGAAACTTAACCTTTTTCGAAAAGGAAGGACCTATTCCTGGCACCGCCCTCGACGAGTATAAAAGGAGAGCTTCCCTTCTGAAGATTCATTGATTCACGACATCAGACTTGAGACCTATGGAAAATAGAGCTTTCTGCTTTCTAACATAGATCTCGAGTCCTTTTCTTTTGACTTAGACTGTCGTTCTTATTCCGGTCACCTATGACCCTTTGTAAGCTTTGAGCTCCGGCTAAATATTAATAAAGACTTACTCTTTTATCCCCCCCCCCCCCCCCCCCCCCCAGATGCTCTTTATTTTCTTTAAGTGATTTTGAGATCTTACAAAGCTCGTCGCAAATTACCTATAGCATCGTACTTGCGAAGGACACAAAAATATCGCGATCACTTAGCCGCAAATAAAAATCCGTCGGATAGCCATTGCAATATTTGCGATGGACTCTAAACCATGCCAATTAATCACAAAACTTTGCGACGGAAACTGTGTGTTACAAACTGTGCAAGCAATAAGGAAAGACGCAAGACCGACACAATATAAACTCGTCATAAATAAGCTGCAAATATTGCGACGCATTTGCGTCATGCGTTGTAAGTCTGCATTCTTGGTACTATTGCTATATGCCAAGTTCTCAATCAGTGTATAAGCATCTTCTGAATACCTAGTGTTGAAGTTCCCATTGCTTGCAGAATCTAGAGTCATCTGATACCTCCAGTCAACTCTTCTGAAGAAGATACTAAGAAATTGCACCTTATTGAAACCATGGTGCGGACAGTCTCTTCGATATACTCTGAATCATACCCAAGCAGCTTTAAATGCTTCAGGTTGTCCTTCAGAGAAGTTAGAGATTTTCGTTCTCAATTCTTCTGATCTTGCATAATCATAGAAGTTGTTGAGGAATGTGTTCTTGGTGTCATCCCAAGTAGTCAGTGATCCAGGCTGCAGTTGTTTCAGCCAATAAGCTGCATCCCCACCAAAAGAGTATAGGAAGAGCTTGTAGAAAAGGTAGTCATTACTGACTAAATTGTTTTTGATGCTTGTCACCAGGTCCTCAAACTTCTCAGTGTGGTCCATAGAGTGTTCATGAGAGAGACTATGAAAGACATGCTGGCCCACAAGTATGTAGTATGCAGGTTTTAGCTCAAACTCATGTCTCTGGAAGACAGGAGGGCAAATTGTAAATCTGTTTGCACAGAAATGATTAGGCTTGTTCTAGTCTCCCAGAGTGCACCCACTCCCAGCAGCATTCCTTGCAGCTTGTTGCTGCTCTGTCTGCCCCACTGGTAGTACTGCCTATTCAACTATCACAGATCCGCAGCGAGTTTCTGCCCTTGAGCAGTGCTGATCCTCATCATGCAGCAGACCAGCTTTATCTCGAACAAGCACAATTGGATCAACTATCTTGACTAGCTTGTTTACTTTCTTGTTTGTGCGCTCCAAACGTGTTAGTTCCTGATTATCTAGTCTGATTAGCTCTTTTTCCTTGTTACTTTTGGTACTGCGATTATGTTTACATCCGAAACCCAAGAATAAGAGACTGAAAACGTTAGTAATTAACAAAAATAAAAACTTAGAAAAAATTCTAATACTAAAAATCTTTAGGCAACTATTAAATCCCCGGCAATGGCGGCAAAAATATGATAGGTATAAAGTTCTACAATAATAATACTACCGCAAGTGCACAGCAAAGCAGTTGTAATATAAAGGGTTATCGTTATGAGATTTAAATTATTCCACCACAGAATTCAGATTTAAATTCAGATAAGACAGTAAATAGATGTAATGCAAGTAAACTAAAAGAAAGCAGCAGAATCGATTTCAGGGCTTTAAAATCAAAAAGACAAGTCGCTAGGTTTTGGGAAATTCGCAGGTTGAATTCAAAATTGCAGAATGAATACTGTCAGGATATTTATAAATAACCATTCTAGAACTCGAAAACATAATTATAAAACCAATCAAATTTTATAGTAGAGATTATCTATGTCTAAATCCTACATTCGTAAATTTCTTTGCAAATTCAAACATATATCAGACAATCATTAAAATCAAGTTCGATTATTCACAAAATCTCTAAACCAGATTTCTTTGCAGATAGATATTTAGCTCATTTAAAATATATTTATCAACCTAAGATCTGATTTCTATGTGATCAATCCTACAAACAGTGTTAATACAATCTAGATGAAGAACATACAGATTAATCCTAACAGTATTTCAATTCTAACAACTCATCATCAACTTTTGACAAATCTAAAACCTTACTAGCAGATTACTCAGATATGGTTAATAGACAAAACATCATGAAAGAAGTAAATTGCATACAAGAAAAGAGTAAGATACAAAGATGGTTGGAAATTTTCTATAAATAGAGTATGGATTTGTCTCTCCAAAAGCTCATGATCTTATCTCTCTCTAAATCTCAATGAAAATAAGATAAGGGCCTAACAATTGCTCTGAATACCTAAATACAGTTCTAAAACATGAGTGGGGCAAGTTTGCAAATAAGTAAAACTTCTGGGACAAGTTACAAATCTTCAGAAGTCTTTAAAATTCTGCGAATATGTGTAATCCACGACCGGTGTCGATCGACACTATGTGCATAAATCGTCTCCGACTTCATCTTATCAGCAACATCTCCACAATGCTACAGAATGCTCCAAAATCTCCAAATATGCTTCAAACGTACCTCAACCTGTAAAGAATCAACAAATATATAAAAAAAACTCTATAAACATGACCTATATCATGGTAAAAAATTCAGAAAAATCATAATATATCATCCTCCGGAGGAAACCACAAGGACAAGTGTCTGAACCAGTGGGACCATCTAAAGGTCGAGTCCTGGGGATTCCCCGCGAGGTGTCCCTATTCGAAGAAAGGTTTCTTGGGTGGAGTGGCCTGCAAAAGGTCAGAGGCTCGGAGTGCGCTAACAAGAAATGATCATCCAATTGTGCAGGTATCCTACCCCGAGATGCTTCAGGGTGTAAGCTAACAAGCTGAACCCGAATACGAAATAAGACGTGGAAACGGTGAGATATCCCTAAAAACTGACTTCCAAACAAAATGGATGTTGGGTGCGCGTGTTTAATAGCTTAAACCCAAAGGAATCCAACCTTTGGGTGGTTCTGCAGGTTCAGATGTATGTCTTTGATTTTCTCGATGCTTGCAGGCGGGCTTTAGAAGCACCTTCGGGTAGTACGAGGGTCGCCGCGGCTATTCATATTGCAGCTGTCGTCTGCTCTCGAACGGTGCAGTCAAGTTTTAGGCTTTTTTGGGCAGCCGGTACCATCTCTTAAACACTTTCAGTTTTTTTTTTGTCTTTTTTACTTGTTGATCCTCGTTACATCGGACGCTAGTATTTTTCCCTTTTTTCTAGCGTCAATTGTTTAGGAGAATTTTGTGAAATGTTTACATGAGGGATATGTATTCATCAGCTCGAATGAACTTTATCACATGGGTACGTCCACTACGGATGAGTAGCGTCCGGGTAACCAGTTATATCCGTCATCTGGGACCTGAGATCAACTAGCAAATGATGAGCCGATTTCCAGGAGGTCAGGAAAGGGTTTTTCCTTTCGAAAGTTCTCCGATGCCCAAGTCATGAGCATCCTACCAGGAAAAAATATTAAAGAGAATAGGTTATGGGGTGGAGTACCACATCCAAAAATCATGATACTCATATGATGTTTAGTGATGGTCGGACAGGCGTAAGCCAATATGAGAGTGGGGTTGGAACTCTCTCTTAAAATGTACCTTCTTTGGCATGTCCTCCGAGCTAATCAATGAGACTGTATCTGGGGACTGTTTCACTTGGTCAAGGATGTCAGGTAAGAACTCTTAAACATTCTAACGGAGGGAACTTGGTCTTGGAGAGTTCCCTAAAGGCTCTCCAGCCATTTTTTTCTCTTATTCTGGTGAAGCTTATCTCTCCCTAGCCTCGATTGTTTGTACGCTCGACCGTTCGACTGGCCTCTTTTATAAGCCATGAGGTCTTATTTATACTACTTATGGCAGATTTCCTATTAGCTCTGCATACTTTACTAGGCCTAACATAGAATGTTTGCTACGACTCATTTAATGCCTACTGAGACAGGTTTGATAGGAATCCTATTAAATGGGTCTCTCTTCTATGTCAAAATTTCTGATTCGCTCTCGAAAAACAGATCCCAACAATATTATATTATAATTTGAACAAATAGTTTTGATATTATAAATATTTTTAATAGATTAAAAAGTTTATGAATATTGATTAAGTTATATATAATTTTATATAATTGATTAACAATATTTAAATTAAAAATATATAATTTATTTTTATATAATTTTAACATATATTTATTATTGTTAAAAAAATATAATAGTTTACTTTTTATTGATATTTTATAATTGTAGTATTGGCAGGCTAGTCGCTATATTCATATAAAAATAATTATTAAAATTGATTGTAAAATCTTGTAATCAACTTATATATCTACAATTGTAAGAATAATAAAAAATTATTAGCATATACTTTACATAAAACTACTTAAATTATTTTTATATTAAATTTTTAAAATTATATTTAATAAAATTGTTTACAGAATTTGTTTTATCTTGTGTATGATGATGTATGATATTATCTAATTAAAAGGTAAAAAAAAAATTTAGTTTTTAGTCCAAATTTATACTATATGTTTATGGTAAATTTTTGTGAGTTTTGTGAGGTAATGTTCTTTAAATAGTTGTTTGCTGTCATAATTATCTTTAACTGTTAATCTTTTAGCAAAAAAAAAAAATTTAGGTGGAATGCCCAAAAAAAAAAGTGTCCCAAATTTACAGCAACCAACTATACGATATTTAATGTTTATTTTAAATGGCAATTTGTTTATTTCTTAATTGTCTCTTGTTCTTGGGAATGTCTATTTTTAGAATTTCGTTAAATAGTTTTTTTTTGGTTATCCCTCTTAAATATGAGACAAAAACAAAGATGTCCAAGCAGCTTGGTGTTGTGCAATCAGATGATCATTGGTGAGGGGGAAATAGTAGTGTTATTGCACCCTTAACATATCTCTAAACACAGAAAATGATTGCAGACCCAAGTTCAAAGGCATGTCATCTTGTTATCGGTCTCGTGTTAATCTTGAACGCAGTGTTTATCTCTGCGGCAAAAGTCAATGTCTTGAACAAGGTATGTTGCGTTTACTGAGAGTCATTTTTAATTTTATCTTTGAGTGATAACGATATGGACTATCTTTTTCTTTTTTTTTTCGGTAATCCCAGATTCACATTGTACACTTGGGAGCAAAGAAACATGATACCCCTGAGCTGGTAACTAGATCACATTTCCAAATTCTTGAACCAATTTTTGGAAGGTACGAGTATGAAGGTTTTATATATTTTTTGATTTTACAAGGATCAGACACTGATGTAACACTAATTTCTTGTTCTATATTTTGTGCCATAGCAAAGAAGCTGCTAAGAAAGCTATAGTATACAATTACAAGCATGGTTTTTCCGGATTTGCAGCAAAACTTACCGATTCCCAAGCGAAGAACCTATCATCGCGTCCCGAGGTTCTTTGTGTTCTTCCAAGTCGAGTACTGAGGTTGAAAACAACCAGAATATATGATTACTTGGGACTTTTGCCTAGTTCTCCAAAGGGTCTTCTACATGATACCCGTTTGGGTAGTGAAGCGATTATTGGGGTAATAGACTCAGGGATATGGCCAGAGTCAGAGTCATTCAACGACACAGGTCTAGGACCGATCCCGAAGCGTTGGAAAGGTAAATGTGTGTCTGGAGATGCATTTGACGCCAAAAAACATTGCAACAAAAAGATTATAGGGGCCGAGTTCTTCTCCGACGGTCTTACTGACGTGAAGGATGGGCAATATGATTTCACTGGGCAAGACGAGTTTAGGTCACCCAGAGATGGTGTAGGCCACGGGACGCACGTTTCAGGGATAGCTGCTGGCTCCGTTGTTGCCAAAGCAAGCTACCAAGGAATGGCTGGAGGAGCCGCTAGAGGTGCGGGTGCTCATGCACGCATAGCTGTGTACAAGGCGTGTTGGGGGAATGTTGGATGTCTCACACCTGATGTACTCAAAGCGATTGACCATAGCATACGTGATGGGGTTGATGTTATATCGATTTCTATCGGTACTGACGCGCCCGCGAGTTTCGATATTGATAAGAGCGATGTTGCATTCGGTTCATTCCAAGCTGTGATGAAAGGCATTCCTGTTGTGTGTGCTGCTGGAAACGAAGGACCGGACGCTCAAACCGTTGATAACGTTGCTCCATGGATCATTACCGTGGCTGCTACGACCATGGACCGTTCTTTCCCGATCCCAATCACTCTTGGCAACAATCTAATAATCCTCGTATGATCCATTCTCCTATTTTTGGATTTTATTTTTCATTTTATATTTTTTTAATTATGACATATGACATTTTTAGGCAGAAGGTTTGGAGTAGGGGTGGGTTCGGTTATTTGGTTCGGTTTGTTTCGGGTTATTCAGTATTTAGTTATTTGAGTTATAGAAAATAGGTTCTATTCCGAATTAAAATTATAGTTTGGTTGGGATTTCGGATTTTTGAGTTTTAGAAAATAAATCTCATTTAACATCAAAATTTATTTTAGTTAGGTTTTTTTACTTTAAGAGAAAATTTATATTAAAAAAAAATACAAATAAACAATTGTATTCGCTTCTAGATAAAATAAAAAATAATAAAAAAATCAAACAAACCAAAAATTAAAATTATAGACGGGATGATTCACAGAATTCTTCAATTCTCTCATAATTTTGATTGCATTGTTCCAGGGCGACGGTATAAACACATTACCAGAAGTTGGATTCACAGATCTTGTATTAATAGATGAAATGATGGAGGCCTCTATCGCACAAGGGCTCACTAAAGATAAAATCGTGCTTGTGTTTACTGCAAACAATGAGGCTAAAGAAAAGGCTGCGCGTATAATGAAAGCTGGATGTGCTGGTATGATCTATGCACAATCTGTACTTGATCCTACCGTTTGCGGTGGCTCAAATGTTCCTTGCGCAGTCGTAGATTACGAGTTCGGAACTGACATCTTATACTATATCGAAACCACCGAGTAATAAATCTTCACCACTTTTCTTTAGTCGTTACATTAATTTTGCTCTTTTTTATATCTCACGTATGAAAGATTTTGATTTTGCAGAGTGCCCATAGCAAAGATAAGTCCTTCCAAGACACTCACTGGCCGGCCTATTGCAACTAGAGTTGCTCGTTTCTCTTGTAGAGGTCCTAATTCAGTTTCTCCAGCCATTCTTAAGGTTTGTGTAGCAATCTTACTCTCTTGTTGTTGTTGTTGTTTTTATTTCTTCAAACATATTGATGCAAGTGTTGATCGATTCTTTAAACAATGCAGCCAGACATAGCAGCACCGGGTGTTAACGTTCTTTCTGCGATGAATGGTGGGTATAGGATAATGTCGGGATCATCAATGGCAACTCCTGTTGTGTCGGGAATCGTTGCTATGCTCAGACAAGCCCGTCCTAAGTGGTCTCCTGCTGCAATCCGATCCGCTCTCGTTACAACAGGTTCTCATTCTAAAACCATACCAAATTTTAGTTCGGTTTAGTTCCATCCGGGATTTAGATCGGTTCGTGAGGATTTCCTATATTCAAGTGTTCGTGGAACGGTTCAAAACTTGTTGGTACAGTTCCAATTCGAGTTCGGTTTTTAGTTAAATATATTTTGTTCGGTTTGTTTTTTTTATTCGGTTTGGATTCGTTTTTGGGTTTTGGTTAAGCTCATACTGATTTTTGAACACTTTGTAACAAAAAAATGTGAAGAGCGCACTAAACATCTTTACTTTCTCCCTTTTCTATAATTGAAATGAAGCTTGGAGGACAGATCCATTTGGAGAGCCTATATTTTCAGAGGGATCAACACGTAAACTTGCTGACCCATTTGACTATGGAGGAGGCCTGATCAACCCGGAGAAAGTAACCGACCCCGGACTTGTCTACGACATGGGCTTGGACGACTATATTCATTACTTATGTTCTGCGAATTATGCTGACAATGAAATTTCCATACTATTAGGCAAAGATCACAAGTGTCCTTCCCCAGCGCCGTCGATGCTCGATTTCAACATGCCTTCAATCACAATCCCAAGTCTCACGGAAGAGGTCACCGTGACTAGAACCGTGACGAATGTTGGACCGGTTGGTTCGGTTTACAAACCCGTGGTTGAGCAGCCATTTGGTATAGAGCTTGAGGTGAATCCGAAAGCTCTTGTGTTTGGTTCAAACAACACCAAGCTTAAGTTTAGTGTGAGAGTGAGATCGAATCATAAAGTTAACAGTGATTTTTATTTTGGGAGCTTGTGTTGGACTGATGGAGTTCATAACGTCACTATTCCTGTTTCTGTGAGAACAAAGTTCTTGAGGAATTATGTTTGATCATTCTTCTCTTGTAACTATATTTTTTTTTTGTAATAAATTCTTTCTGGATCTTGAGATTCTTTGATGGATATAAGTCGCATATTTTCCATATCTATATACTACGTATCTATATGTTCATCATCAATATCACGGAACTATACTTATATTTATTAGGTTAATTGTATAAGTTGCATCATGAACTATTTCATGGATCAAGACGAAATGAGAGAGGTAAACACTAAATATTCCAATTTCTCTGTTTCTGTTTGAAAAATTCAACCTAAAATGAGAGAGGTCGACAACAAATATTCCAATAGTAAGTTCAACCTAAAATCTCTATAATTATGGTGATTCATTCCATGGAGGTTCATCACCAAAACTTAAAACCCTAAAATTCAAGTTGCATGGGCACCATTCTTCATGTAACGTTATAACTGTCTCTATCGGTGAGCACACCCATATACTGTTATTCTCGACCGTGACTGTGACCCGTTCTGACTCTACATTCTAGTTTGGGTTTGGTTTTGATATTAGATTGCTCCTAGTGAGTACACCCATATCTACTTTCGGGCCTGTAGACCCACCTCTGTCTGAAGGCTGGTGCATTAACAGGAAGCTTGAAAGTCATAATATAATGACCTTGCAATTACCACATGATGTTTATCCGTGTTTGTTCTCACTCATACGAATTCGGAAATCACTTCTTGAAAGGTTACCCATCCTAGTTCTACTTTAGCTAAATCATCCTTAATTGTAGAGTTTTCTCGGGACTAGTTACCGAAAAGATAAATGCACTTTGATGATATACGTAGCCAAATCAATTCTCTTTATAATGCCATGATGGCCCTTACCAGTGAGCACACCCACGTATGCTCTCGGGCTCGTGGGCTTTACTTCTGTCCAACGGTCGATGTGTTAGTTAAAAGACTCTAAAGTCATGATATACTGACCCAAAAATCACTACGTGATCTTTCTCCATGTTTTGTCTTCACTCACAGGATTTCAGAAATCACTTCCCGAAAGATCATCCATCATAATCCTACTCCAGCTCAAGTACCTTTAACTATGGAATTCTCTCAGGACAAGTGACTGAAAAGATAAGTGCACTTTGGTGATATAGGTAGCCAAATTAATTTCTCTTAGCCTCTTCACATATACTTTCATATTTATGAAATCGGAATGTTACTAGAAGATTAAGTTGGTATTTTGTATAATAATCCTTGTCTTAAAAATTGTTTACAAAAATGGGCCTAATCATATGTGGATTTTGGAGGTAATCAATTCATTCAGTAGGTAAAATTAATATGGGAGACTTTAGTGTCAAATTGTATTTATGGAATTGATGAAATTGGGAATAAATGATGATATAAGCTTTTTTTTTTTTTTACTAATTAGGAGACATCGTCTCCAAACTTTTATTCAAAATTAAATTGCCTTACATCCGCACATTTCACATTATGCACTATTGCTAACCCATTTATGTCCTCCGTTACAATCGAAATAAGTTCACCTGGAGGAGAAGCCATCAACCTAGGACCTAAAGGTAACGACAAAGCCAAATTAGCTAAACCAATAACAAGCCCATTTGCTTCTCTGAACATGCCGATTTGCTTCTCTGAACATATGAGTAACTCGGACTGACCAGTCCCTTACAATGAAGGCATAACACAAAAGTACTAAGAAAGAAAAGAGGTGAGGATCACTAATCCCTATTTTTTAAAAGCCTACCACTATTTTTGAGTCCACCTCGAACTCCAATCGAGTGACTCTCTTCTTTCAAGCAATGTATAAGTCATAATACACTCCCCAAAGCTCCACCAAAAGAGCTGAACATATGCCAATATTAAGAGCAAAGCCACCACACCATTTACTCTATGCATCCCACATAATTCTTTCAGCCGTTGCCAGGCCTGGGTTCCCTCGTGAAGCCCCGGCCCATCAGTATTCAGTTTCATCCAATTTCCCATTCGCTGTATCCACGCTATCTATTTCTCCACTCGTACAACCATATTCATAATATCTCTGACTTTCGAATTTGCTTCAATCACCTCTTTAGCTATATCTTTAATAAAATGTACCCAATCACAACACTTGCCATTTACTTTGAATACATTCCTACACCGTCACTTCTAGCTCCACCAAAATGTAACTATAAATACAGTATACCAAGGACAACAAAAATTCTCCGAATTATCTCCTAAATTATCCCCTAAATTCTCTGAATGATTTAAGCTTTTAAAAGAAAAAATAAATGCTATAACTTTTACTTTTTTATCTTTATTTAAGTTTTCAATATTATTAATATGTGTATTGGATTTGTGATGTTTTGTTATATATATACGTTTCAAGGACAATATTAAATTTTATAGGGTGAATTTGCTGAATATATATATATATATATATATATATATATATATATATCTCCAACCCAATATAAAGAATATAGCAATAACAAATCCGAAACCTACAAACTAACCATCGAATAGAATAAAATAACGAAAATAACCTAACTATTTATTAAATTTAATAATAAAAATAATATTTTAAGTTTTTGTATTTTTGAATACTGTTTTATTCGCATAGAATAGTATTAGAAAATATGTTTTTATACAAAGTACAATTTTGGAAGTTGTATATAGTATTCTATACTATTATACTATGTAATCCAACAAATAATTTTACTTAAATTAAAATTAAACTCAAACCACTGCTTACTATATTCAAATCATGTACATATACTTCTCATAAGCTACAATGTATTGTTGACAAAAAAAAAAATTATAATGTATTATAAATTTTAAAATGAACCTAAGTAATTTAAAACTAAACTCTAATCACTATTTATTATACTCAAACCTCGTACACATACATCTCGAAAATATAATATGTTTTAAAATAAACCCAAATAATTACATTCAAACCCTGTACATATATCCTGATAAGCTATAGTCTGTTACAAATTTTTAAAAATCAATTTTAGCATTATGGGTTTTTGTCATATATTTTATAATATATTATACTATGTAATTTATATAGTATTGTTGTAATTTACATATAATAACATAGAACTTGGATCGCTACTTGGATCACTGCTGTGATTGGCATGTGTTGCTATTTTGACATATATTACTTATGAAAATCATAAATAACTTGTCAAAAATGTTTTTAAGTCTAAGGTAAATTATAGTCTGACTAAACCATTATTACATTGATCACATAGATTACATATTATATTGACAAATCATGAAAATAGTATAATATTATCTGGTTTCATGATTAACAAACGAGATCATTGCCACTCAATATCTGGCCAGCATCACGTCCCTTCTTCTGTTCTTCATCAGACTCTCCTCGCGCTTACTCTTACGGATATCTACCATGTTGTCCTCTCTCGATCCCCATTATCTGAAACCAAACACACACATGGGGTTCAGTCACGATAGCAAAGATTATCTTTGCCTTCTCCATTGTTACATAGTAGTAGCCAATATGAAATATAGTATAACTCTAGATAGAAAAGATCAACACACCAAATCTAACCAAAATCCCCAAAGAAATTCGAGATTCAACAGATTAACAAGCATATGAGGTAATCAATCTATTAATAAACAAAATCAGTGAAAAGATCGAGATCCATAAGTAGAAAGAACAAACCGTGACGGGCCTTTCAGTCTGCCGCATGTGAAAGATTCATCCGGCGAAGGCGTCGACTTACATTGCGAGACATTTGGGTATGGGCGATTTCGAGGAAGAAGAGCGGAGATGCGAAGATTGGGGGGAGAGATTGTGGATAAGATCCCGATTTGAAGATGGGTCTAGTAGAAATCGGAAAGATGAGGGAACAGAAAAGAGAAAGATAATTTTTGAAACATCTAGGGATTAAATGAGGAGCATTTGGGGATGTAGAGAGGTTAGGGTTTACGAAATCACTGGTTGAGAGGTTCACGCGGAGGAGAAGAAGAAACAGAGATGAAAAGAAGAAAGAGAAAAGGAAAAAAAAATAAAAAAATAAAGAGGAATTGTTTTGATATTAATACATATTATATGGAAAATATCATAACTGTCGTTTCATATAGTTAGAAAACTAATAACCGATCATATTTTCTAATACAGATTCTCAATTTTATAATAAAAAATGTAAATAAAATATGATGTTTTAGTTCATTCACATAAATTAAAAAATAATTATCTTTCAGTTATTAATATATTACTTTTTTATAATCATTATTTTTTATAGTTTTTAATCAATAGAAATTTAAGAATTTAAATAATTGTAATTGCTTTTCTTAAAGTCTTTAAAAAGCATATTTAATAATTTAAAACATTAATCTTTATGGAATAAAACAATCTAAAAAATAGAGTGAATACTTGTTTTTGATTTGATGTTATCTAAAGAGAAATACCCTTAGATGCACTTAGGCTGCAACTTGATTTACAATTTGAGGAATAGAATTATGTGGAATGGCTTATTCAAATGAATTCCACAAAAATGTTACCATTTAAATGGAATACAAAATATATCTCATTCCTTTGGAATATAGTGGAATAAAAAAAGAATGTAGTATAAAACTATTCTAGATATAAAATGTATAGGAATAGATGGAATCCAGGAAGGAATATAATAAAAAAATATTCCAATTTTTTAAAAATACATAATTAAATTTAAAAACTAATAACAATTTAAAAGAGTCAAACGACTTACATAATTTTAGCAGATTTGTTTAGATTTTAAATTTGAAAACCAAGGTCTGTCATCTTCCTTCTTTGGTTTTAGATAAACAACATTAATCAATCTTGCTTAGCTTCTTCTGTTTATTTTTTTATAAACTTTTGTTATTACATGGAATAATGACGATTTTTCCCGACAGAAACATGGCAACTAGATCAGGATGTGGTAGCAAACCAGGCAACAAAGGTCGGCCTACTCGCAAAGATCAATCAATCGATGTAACGACATCAAACCATGAAGGAAATGGAAATCGACTTAATCGCAAGGATAAGTCAATTGATGAAACACCAACAAACCGTCAAAGAAAAGTATGCTTGGTAACATGAATTTTACTTATCTTTCTATATTAGTAGTTATATATATAACGTATTTTTATAAATATTTTAGTACAACTATTGGATTCCAAGAAAAACAGAAATTTTGCTCAGCCTCGTAAACATTGAGTTAAAAAACAAAAGACTACGCCATAAGAATGCCAGACAATCCCGGCAAGCGAAGAATAGAAGAAAAATACTATGAACTGACTGGAGATAGGATTGTTTTCGAGCCAGAGATGAGAAATAGGTTAGAATATATGCGTCAGTTGCGACAACATTACAATATGTTAGTCAACCGTACTGGTGTTCGAGTTAATCCTACGACAGAACGGATAGAGATGCCTAAACCATGGTGGGATGATCGAATTGCGGTAAGTTTCACAAAAATACTCATAAAACATATATTATGTATATATGTTTTTGTCAAGCGCTCGCTTATAGTATTTTTTATAATGTTGTAGGAGGCTGGAAAAAATGGAAAATATGTCCAAGTGTTGCAAAGCAAACCTCTTCCTTTTAAAGAGCTACTCGATCAAATTTATGGTGAACATGATCTGGATCAGGATGAGCGTTATTCGCCATTCATGCTCGGTGAACATATTCAACAAACGGAAGCTGAGGGAGATAGTGATGATGGAACAACAGTGGGTGAAACAGCAGAAGAAAATGGAATCCAAACTCCTTTTGACTCAACTAGCCTTAGAGCTTCAGATGATGAAATTCCCACTAGAGAGCTAGTACAACGCTCCCCACCTCGTGCAAATAGATCGAGTCTACGTGTTCACAGTACATCTACCAAACGTACGAATAGAAAAAGAGTCAATTTCGAGACACAAATCCAAAGTGGATTTCAACGTATGGAAGAGTCTTGCACAAGTTTACTAGATGTTTTACGGTCACGACACCAATAGAAGGCAAATTTTGGTGATGCTTTGGCTCTACTTGAAGCATTAGAAGTTGAACCGATGGGAAGATTTTGGTGGGCTGCAAATAGATTGCTGATGAATGACGGGGAAATCCATGACGGATTTATGAAATTACGAAGTGAAGATAATAAAATTAGGTTCTTGGAGAGGCTAAGTGGTATTGATAGATACGGTGATCCATGCCAAATCATCAACTTAAGAGAGACCTGCAACATTCCAACGTCTTCTCTCCCAATGTCTGAATCCCAAATGGCTGGATTTAACACTAGTGCTTCAACAAGTTTTGGTCTGGGATTAGAAATGTTTGAATCAAGATCTTCTGAGAGTAGTTTTTCATCTTTGCTTAGGGTTCTTGGATCTAACTCGTTAGGCTTAACCTCTGGTTCTAGAGCTAGTTTAGTTTAGTTTTTTTTTTTACATTTTTAAGAAGAACAATGATTTTTTTTCTTTCTCAATGACAATAAAACATTTGTTCAATACAAAAATTTTCTATTTGTTATTGTTTTTTATATTTTAAAATTTATATAAGTTTGTACACACACTTACTTCTAACGCAGGTTTTCTTTTCTTCTTTGTTGCAGGAACTTTGCATTGTAGAATTACTTTCACGTGGAACTGAAAATCTATCAGATGAAAAACTTACATAGTTGATATTAATGGAAGAAGATGAGATATTGCAAGCTTACCTTTCCCATGCGATGGACTACTATTGTAAATTTTTCTGCAAAGAACCAATTAATCAAGAAAAGGGTGGAGGATGGCGTATGATCCGAAATCAGATTTATGAAAAAGAAAGTTCATGTCGGACGTTAGTGCGGATGAGCAGAGAGGCATTTACACATCTGTGTAGGCTACTGAAAGGCAGGTATGGCTTACAAGACACACATAGCATATGTGTAGATGAGAGCGTTGCAATCTTCCTTATTCTTTGTGGGCAAAATGATACTCAATATGATCTTGGTTTAGGATTTGGACACGCACAAGAGACGATAGGTCGGAAATTTCATGAAGTACTTGGAGCAATGGAACGAATGGCTGTGGATTATTTACGACCACGTACAATTCAAGAAATGGAAGCTATATCAGACCGTCTTGAAGGAGATACTCGTTACTCTCCTTTTTTCAGTGGATTTGTAGGAGCATTAGACGGGACGCATATTCCCGTTATGGTTACACCAGGAAAGGAATCTATACGATTTATAAGTCGGAAAGGAACAACGAGCCTTAATGTTTTGGCCATCTGCGATGCAGATATGCTCTTTACGGATTGTTTTGTTGGGATGGCAGGGTCAGCATATGATTCTCGGGTTTTAGCAACAGAAATTCGAGATGATCCTATGTTTTCCACACCTCTAGAAGGTAAATATTATCTTGTAGACTCTGGATATGCCAATAGCCGAGGTTACTTAGCTCCGTATAGAAAGCAACGTAATTGTGGTACAAGGTATCATCTACAAGAGTTTTTGAATGGTGAAGCCCCACGAAACAGCAAAGAGATGTTTAACAGATGGCATGCATCTCTCCGTTCTGTAATTGAACGTACATTTGGAGTTTGGAAAAAAATGGAGGGTTTTAAATGAGTTTCCAAGGTATGATATTTCTGTACAAAGGCGCGTTATTATTGCTACAATGTGACTTCATAATTTCATCCGTCGAAACAACATTGGAGATGTTGAGTTTGAAGATGCAGACGCAGAAAGTGATATTCTACATGGTCGCCAAAATATAATTGATGATACAAATGATGATCAAGGCGTTCAAGTTGAAGAAAGCACTGAAGCTGGAACTTATATGAGAATCATTCATGATCAAATTGCAAAGGACATTTGGATTAAAAAAAGTTGTTTATATAATTCTAATTGTTAGGTTTTAGGTTCAAGTTTAGTATTATATTTCAATAATATTCGTGTTTTATTTTATTTTATTTTTTTAGCATTTTATTAGTTTTAAATAAAAATGCATTCTTGTCATACACATAATACTGTTTATCTAAATATAAATTAGTTGAAATTATATTTATTTATATTCTATTCTATTTCTCTAAATAGTTACCATTTGAGTAACAAAAACAAAATTCTACAATTATTCATTTCATTCCTTTTATTTTATAACTTCTTTTATTCCATTCCCTTGTATTCTAATTTTTTTAATTCCTCTCGTTCATAATATTCCTAAAAGTGATTTCTAGTTGCAGTGTTTTTAATATACACTAGCACACTAAATAATTTAATATTTTTTACATAAACTAACTATACTACCCTCATTTAAATAACACACTGAATTAATTAAGAACTGAAAACCTATTTTACAATTTTCATTTTCAGACTGAAACTCCTGACGTCGTCATCCACTATTACTAAAATCTCCCACCAAGTCTCTGTTTCGTATCATCTCCAATCAAATCTTCGCTCATCATCAGATCATCTCATATGATCTCCATTCATCATCGAAAAAGGGAGACAACCAAGGATTCTTCAGAATCTCATCAATGGTGATCTTTTTTGTGATATTAATATCAAGGAGATGAATCGTTTCAGATCTGATTTCAGATTCCAATTTTGTTCTTCTCTACCACCACAAATTTTACTATGGGCGTTAGATCTGGTATAGAAGACTCCAATCTGGCCGGAAAAAGCTGAATCGGCGAGATCTGTGGCGATTAGGTGATTAGGTTTTTAAGTTGGGAGAAAATTGTTGATTTTGAGTATGATTTGGTTTTGGAAAACTTTTAGGAAGCTTTCCTATATATTCAAGAAGTCTTTCCCAGATATGTTGTTCTTCTCTACCACCACGGAGTTTAATATGGACAACAGATCTGACATATAAAACTCTAATTTGGCTGGAAAAATCTGAATCGGCGAGATCTGCGGTGATTGGGTGATTACGTTTTCAAACTGAGAGAAAATTGTAGATTTTAGCTATGATTTGATTCTGGAATACATTTAGGAAAATTTCCTATATACTCAGGAAGCCTTTCCCAAATATGTTGCTATACCTCTTTGTTTTGCTTATCTTGATTGAGTGGATAGTGATTTGCATGTGATACACCTCTAAAAATTATTTTTTACTCAATTCAGAAAGTCTTTCCATAATTTAGGAAATTTTAAAAAATTTAGGAAAGTTTTCATGTTTTAGATCTACAAGTATTTAATGTTTTGAAACAGCTTTGATTCACATATTATACAAAGAGAAAAATAATATTATTTTTTGAAACCTCAGACGAAAATAATTGTAAATCTCGCTTTGTATAAATTTAAATTAAAAACAAAAATAACTAAATTTTCCCATATTTCGACTGAATATTTTTAGATATCCAAATATTTTTCAAAATTTAATAAATTATAGAATATCTCTTAAATATTTTTACAAACATTACTCTGCACGAACACGCAGATAGTAACCCAGTTTTGATTAAGTGGATAGTGGTTTGCATGTGATACACCTCTTAAAATTATTTTTTTACTCAATTCAGAAAGTCTTTTCACAATTCAGAAAATTTAAAATATTCAGGAATTTTTTCCTAAATAATATGAAACAATATTAGATTTTAGTGTTTAGAAAATTTTCTTAAAAAATCACGAAATATTAACTGAACAAAAACATTCCAGAAAACTTTTTTAAAGGACAAAATCAGAAAATTAAATGAAAACTGTTAGAAGGTGATAAATTTTTAACTTCTCTGTTATTTTTATCCTGAAAATTTGTTTTTATAGTAAATATGAAAATTACCCCTATCTAAATAAAAAAAAATAATTATCATTTTTTGTGAGATTAAATGATTAAGGTTTTCCGTTTTGGGGACGCACGAGTGCGAGCGATCTCACTCTCAGGCTTTAAACGGAAGCAAAGAAAAGCGGATGAGGTGGCGCTTTCCGACCAAAACGTTCCCGCGTCCACTCCTCTCTTCTACTCATTCCACGTGTTGTTTTACCAGTTGGCCAGCATGAGGTACCTTATTTGAACCACACATTGAACCACTTTGACATAATAAAAAAGTATATATATAATAACTGTGAAACTTTTTGTTTATGGGAAAAATCTTGTAATCTCTCAAATTATGATTATCATCTTTCAAGCTCACGTAGAAATGAAATCATTTTATTCCATGCTTTCCTATCGATTTTCGTATCCTTTTTTATTTTTAAGAAACTGAGTATACAATGTAAGCAATTAATCGGTTATGAATTTTCTATTGATAAATTTTAAAGACTAATAAACAATACTCTACTTTATCACATAAAGTTAACCATCAAATCTAAAAGCTACAATTCAATATCTATGTATTTTGAGGGTTTTGAATCGCATTTCATGTTTTATTCACACACACAAAACAATATCTCAAATATAAATTTATCCAAAGATAACAAGAAAGAATAAAGAAATGAAGCTTTATTATCATAATAAGTAAAGATAAAACCCATATCCATGGGTTAAAATAAGAAAAAAACATAAGAAAAAAAAAAGAGGAAAATGGACCACCTGTGTGTGAACCAGGAGATGTAAATGTTGAATTATATATCTTGTTGAACTAAGCTTGAAATCATATGAAGACTAGGATATCTAAAGTGTTTAGGTTTAGAAAGAGATGTTTTAGAAATTGTTTAATGCATTCTCTAATAGAAATAGGATTTGCCTATTGGCTATATAAGCAATATCGAGATGTGGCATTAACTTTAAGAGAGATTTAAAGTTTAAAGTTTTGAGTGATTTTTCTTAATCTAATAAGAGAGTTATTCTTATTGATCTTTTGAGTTCTTAGTTCTGGTTACAAAACAATAATTGGTATCAGAGCTTCAGAACTTTGAAAAAAAATTGAAATCGAACCATGGGAGATCTTGTTGCAGCCACCGCAGCAGCAAGACCTAAGGAAGGAGGAGGAGGCCCGTCGTCGATCACATGTCCTATGCTGAACACAACCAATTACACGGTTTGGGCTATGAGAATGAAAATAACACTCAAAGTCCACAAAGTCTGGGAGGTTATAGAAGCTGAGACGGATCCACCCGATAGTGAGAAGAACAACATGGCCATAGCTCTGCTCTTCCAATCGATACCTGAGACACTCATTCTACAAGTAGGAGAGCTTGATACAACAAAAAAGGTGTGGGAAGCGATAAAAGCAAGACATATAGGTGCCGAACGAGTCAAAGAAGCAAGACTGCAGACACTAATGGCTGAGTTTGATCGACTCAAGATGAAAGACACAGATAAGATTGATGATTTTGCAGGAAAATTATCAGAGATCTCATCGAAATCAGCTGCCCTAGGAGAGAGCATTGAAGAGCCGAAGATAGTTAAGAAATTCCTGAAGAGTCTTCCACGGAAGAAGTATATACACATAGTCGCCTCGCTTGAGCAGGTGTTGGACCTGAATACAACTAGTTTTGAAGATATCATCGGAAGGTTAAAAGCATATGAAGAAAGAATCTACGAAGAGGAAGACGCTCAAGAGGACCAAAGTAAACTGATGTATCTGAATGAGGAAACTTCGACAAATCGCGAGTACAACCGCGAATCAATGGAGAAAATAGGGGCAGAGGTCGAGGAGGACGAAACAGAGGACGAGGCCGTGGATGTTCGAATGCTGGAAGAGATACGTCAAAGATAACATGTTTTCGGTGTGACAAGTTAGGACATTACACTTCAGTATGTTCTGACAGGTTACTTAAGCTTCAAGAAGCACAAGAGGATGAGAACGATGATACCCAAGATGCGGAGGAACTCATGTTACATGAGGTTGTGTTTCTGAACGAAAAGAAGGTCATACCGAGCAAATACGAGAAGACTGCCAAAGAAACGAACATATGGTACCTGGATAACGGAGCCAGTAACCATATGACAGGAGACAAAAGGTATTTTAAGAAAATCGATGAAACCGTTACTGGAAAAGTAAGGTTTGGAGATGACTCACGAATAGACATAAGGGGAAAAGGATCAATCTTATTCATTGATATGAATGGCAAACCGCGGACGATGCACGACGTCTACTTCATCCCTGATTTAAAGAGTAACATCATCAGCTTAGGGCAAGCTACAGAGTCGGGCTGTGACATCAGGATGAGAGGAGGAGTCTTAACAATGCACGATTCTGTAGGAAAATTGCTAGTTAAGGCAGAACGAGCTAAGAATCGAATTTATAAGGTATACATGGCGCTAAAGGATACAACACGACTACATCTAACAGCAGCAAGCGAGTCAAACATATGGCACGCAAGGATGGGACACATAAACCTAGAAACAATGAAGTCCATGATTCAGAGAGAGTTAGTTCTAGGAGTCCCACGGATCAGCTTTGAGAAAGAAATCTGCGGATCATGTCTACTCGGGAAACAAACAAGACAAGTCTTCCCTCAGGCCTCCTCATATCGAGCAACGAAGATACTAGAACTCATACACGGAGATCTCTGCGGTCCTATAACACCAAGTACAATTGCAAGAAACAAATACATATTTGTACTCATTGGTGATCACTCGCGTTACATGTGGACGATATTGTTGAAAGAGAAAGGCGATGCTTTCAACAAGTTCAAGAAATTCAAAAGTTTGGTGGAACAGGACGCAGGAGAAAGCATTAAAACGTTCAGAACTGATAGAGGAGGTGAGTTCGTATCTTACGAGTTTAATGCTTTCTGCGATGAGTCGGGTATCAAGAGACATCTTACAGCGCTATACACTCCACAGCAGAACGGAGTAGTTGAGAGAAGAAACAGGACATTGATGGAAATGTCTAGGAGTATACTAAAGCATATGCGAGTCCCAAACTATATGTGGGGTGAAGCAATAAGGCACTCCACATACTTGTTGAATCGCGTGGCAACACGGGCGCTTAAGGAGAAGACCCCGTACGAAGCATTAAAAAGTAAGAAGCCACGAATCGATCATCTTCGAATCTTTGGCTGCATTAGCTATGCAAGGATAGATAAGCCACATCTAAAGAAGTTAGATGATAGGTCGCGAGTGTTGGTTCATCTTGGAATAGAACCAGGATCGAAGGCATATCGTTTACTCGATCCTATGTCGCGAAAGGTAGTGGTGAGTAGGGATGTCGTATTCGACGAAGAAAAGGGGTGGAACTGGAGTCATGAGGATCCTGTTGCCTTGGAAGACTTCAGAGTTACTCTTGGTGAGTTTGGGAATCGCGGGATACAAGAAGAACGAGACAAGGATCCCGAAAGCAACATATCACAAGAAATTACGGAAGATCAGAGGAAGTGGATGGAGGTCTCGAGACATTAACAGAATTTGAGCATGAATACTCGGAACCTTCGTCCGTTTGAAGAAGTCCAGAAAAACAGAGTATAACACGAAGCTCACCGAAACAGAGTGCACCTAGAAACCCAGAAAAACAGAGTGAGGAAAAACAGAGCGTGGCTGCAACACCCGGAAACCAGAACATAGCTCCCGTACCTCTCCGGCGAACAGGAAGGGAGAGTACATTACCGACTTACTTGCAGGATTACGTACTACTCGCAGAAGAAGAGGGCGAGATGTTGTTAATGTGTTTAAACGATGAACCGAAGAACTTTTGTGAGGCTAAAGGATCTCGAGCGTGGATGTTGGCATGCGAAGATGAGATCCACTCTATTGAAAAGAACCGCACATGGAATCTTGTGGATCTACCAAACGGGGCAAAAGCAATTGGACTGAAGTGGGTTTTCAAACTCAAGCGAAACTCCGATGGGAGTATAAATAAGCACAAAGCACGTTTGGTTGCAAAAGGGTATGTGCAACAGTATGGAGTTGATTTCGAGGAGGTCTTCGCTCCAGTCGCTCACATAGAAACCATACGACTACTCATTAATCTCGCGGCGTCTAACAGTTGGGAGATACATCATCTTGATGTAAAAACAGCATTCTTACATGGCGAGCTCAAGGAAACCGTTTATGTTGAGCAACCAAAGGGGTTCCAAGTAAAAGGACAAGAGAGCAAGGTATACAAACTTAACAAGGCTTTGTACAGACTGAGACAGGCGCCAAGAGCTTGGAACAATAAGCTGAATCAGATTCTTATGGGGCTACGGTTCAAGAAGTGTTCAAAGGAGCCCTCAGTGTATCGAAAGGAAGAAAAGGGAAACCTTCTTGTCGTAGCTGTTTATGTGGATGATTTGTTTGTTACTGGAACGAACTTAAGCATTATCGATGAATTCAAGGAATAGATGGCTTCCAAGTTTGAGATGAGCAATCTTGGTCGCCTAACATACTATCTAGGGATTGAAGTTTGCCAAAGTAGTGACGGAAAGGTTCTGAGTCAGAAGCGATATGCTCAGAAAATATTAGAAGAGACTGGAATGAGAGATTGCAATCCAGTTCATGTGCCAATGGAATCTGGACTGAAACTGGCCAAATCAGAAAGTGAAAAGGAGATTGATGCCACTTGGTTCAGAAAAAAACATTGGATGTCTTCGCTACCTACTTCATACTAGACCTGATATGGCGTATAGTGTTGGGGTGTTGAGTAGGTACATGCAGAGTCCTAGAGAGTCTCATGGCGTTGCCATGAAGTAATGCTTAAGGTATCTACAAGGCACCACTACACTTGGCCTAAAAATCGAGCGGTCACACTCGAAGGTACCGAGGATTGTTGGCTACAGTGACAGTAGTCATAATATTGATCCAGATGATGGAAAGAGCACGACAGGACATATATTCTATCTCGGTGGAAGTCCAATCACGTGGTGTTCACAGAAGCAGGAAACTGTAGCTTTGTCCTCATGTTAAGCCGAGTTTATGGCGGGTACAGAAGCTGCAAGACAAGCGATATGGCTCCAAAATTTGCTCAGTGAAGTTACTGGAACAATGTGTGAAAATGTGGTCATTCGAATTGACAACAAATCGGCTATTGCCCTCACAAAAAATCGGAGTTTCATGGTAGAAGTAAACACATTCATACACGATATCATTTCATACGTGAATGTGTTGAAAACGGCCAAATTGAAGTTGAGAACATTCTCGGGAATCAATAAAAGGCGGACATTTTAACGAAGGCTCTTGGAAGGATCAAATTCAAGGAGATGAGAAGTCTCATCGGCATTCAAGACTTGAAGGAATTCAACTTCAAGCTTAGAGGGGAGAATGTTGAACTAAGCTTGAAATCATATCAAGATTAGGATACCTAAAGTGTTTAGGTTTAGAAAGAGATGTTTTAGGAGTTGTCTAATGCATTCTCTAATAGAAATAGGATTTGCCTATTGGCTATATAAGCAATGTCGAGATGTGGCATTAGCTTTAAGAGAGATTTAGAGTTTAAGGTTTTGAGTGATTTTCCTTAAGCTAATAAGAGAATTATTCTTATTGATCTTTTGAGTTCTTAGTTCTGGTTACAAAACAATATATCTTAGTGCTCAAAATTCATCCTTACATTCTTTTTGTTCTCTTTAATCTTTATTGATAACCTATAGATTTACACAGACATACGTATATATCTCTATGCATATATATAGGTGGTTGCCAAGCTTACCCAACTCTCTGTCTACAACTTGCAATAACATTTACTCTCTCAGAAGATAGACCGAGACAGAGAGATAAAGAGAAAAAAAAGTAAGAGAGAAAACAGAGTATATTATCTGTTTTGTTCATTGATCAAAACAGAGTCTTAGAAAGAACCAGAAGAAGAGAGAAATGGGGAGACAACCATGCTGTGACAAAGTAGGTTTGAAGAAAGGACCATGGACTGCTGAAGAAGACAGGAAGCTCATAAACTTCATCCTCACCAATGGACAATGTTGTTGGAGAGCTGTTCCTAAGCTTGCTGGTCTTCTCAGGTGTGGCAAGAGTTGTAGACTTCGTTGGACAAATTATCTCAGACCAGATCTAAAGAGAGGTCTTCTCTCTGATTACGAGGAGAAGATGGTCATTGATCTCCATTCCCAACTTGGCAACAGGTTACATAAAAATAAAAACTTTTCTTGATTTTAACTTTCTCACTATGCTCTGTTTTCTGAGATGTTTTGTTTCTTCTTATGTACGTGAAGGTGGTCAAAGATAGCTTCTCATTTACCAGGTAGAACAGACAACGAAATCAAGAACCATTGGAACACTCACATCAAGAAGAAGTTAAGGAAAATGGGGATAGATCCTCTCACTCATAAACCTCTCTCCATCGTCGAACAAGATGAAGAAGAACCCATAAAGAAGCTGCAGAAAACATTCGAGGAGGGACCAACTAGTAACAGCAAGAACATGTCCTTGTGTTACAATGAACAGATCATGGCGATAAATAATGAGTATGGAGTTGAAGAAGTCCCTCTGATTGATCCAGAGTCTTTAGAGCTTATATGCAGCAACTCTGTAATGTCTTCTTCATCCACATCAACGTCTTCGAACTCCTCCAATGATTCGAGTTTCTTAAAAGATTTGCAGTTTCAGGATTTCGATTGGTCGGATTACGGTAATGATAATAACAATAATGGTGTGGACAACATTATAGAGAACAATATGATGAGCTTGTTGGATGTTGATGACTTTAGCAATTGGGATTTGCTGCTAAATGATGATATTCCTCAGAGTTCTTCCACTTTTAGGTTGTTTTGAATTCGTTTTGAAGTCTGTACTCACTTTTATAAAATGGAAAATATGGAGGGGCAGAAGAACCTAAATACCCCTCTTTACTCAATTTTTGTGGGTGGGATGAAAAAAACGTTTTATTTGTGAAACAGTTAGAACAAATAATATATATTTATTTTGTACAGACAAAAAATGTTAGAGAGGATTGTGTTGTGTCTATGTATCTTTACAATTGTTCTAATGTGGTGTTTTTCGGTCCACTTCTGCTTGTATTTTGGGCTCCATACTTCCACGTGTTCAGGTTTACAATCACTTATAGTTAAAAAAAAAGTACTCTTTGGTTACGTAAATATTAAATTTAAGGGCATATGAATATTCATAGATATTATTGACGAATTAAACTTAGGATACTATTACGTCAAAAAAAAACTTAGGATACTATTAAAATGACTAAAGTTTATTTATAGTCTAACAAAGCACATTATTTTTTTATAAGAAATACAAAACAAAGCACATTATTTTGTTGGTTTTAATATTAAGTTATAAACACATCATCTTCTCGACAAGGGTTTAATTTTTTACGCTATCATTTTTTCTTCTGTTTTCACTTTTCACTTTTAGTGATGTTTTTCTTAATAACATGGAGTATCACTTTTCAATGATGTTTGTCGTTTTATATTTTATACATTAAGTCTTTTATATCTATTCTGACCAAAAAACAAAAAAGATATACTGAAAATTTAGTAATTGCATCCAACCAAAGAGAGCGTTCAAAATTTAGTTCTTTTTTTTAATAAAGAATGTTGTTTCAAGTAGTTTGATCAAAATTAAATTTTATGATTAGGGAGAGATGATCTATTACTTGAGTAACCAACAAAACCTGCTATTTAAACCCGAATTTGGACTTAAAGGAAACGATGAACTATGGATCAAAATTTGAAACTTTCTAGTCGATCGACACAATATTAGTTTCTATCATATGTGTTCTAATTATATTTTTCTCGACAGTTTGCTATGCCGAAGCAAAAATATATTAACCTGTTAGGCGCAAACAGTCATTGTAAAGTCAACCATATATTAATATAGCTATTTTGTATATATTCTTTTCTTTTTGGTTTTCGATGTCACGTAAAATATAATTAGAATAATAAAATAATGAATATTGATTGATGAGAGGTGGTTATAGAAGCATTTGTAAGAAAGAAATAAGGTAGCTCATGTACATCTCTATGCCTTTGTCTTCACTTAGCAGAATCCGCAAAGGTTGCTGTAGCTTGTAATTTAATACCGTAGAATACAAGTTACAAAGACTTCATTCCAACCAGAATTAATAAACATTCATGTTAATTATTCTCAATTTCTTTATACGTCATTTTTTGGTCCTAAATCTTGACTTTAGATAAGCGATGCTTTACAAACTTATACGCATGCACATTTTTTTTATTCGAATAAATAAGAGTGGTAGCACTTTTGTATATAGACGTTCCTAAATACATTATGTTTTAGATTCGTATGATTAGAGGATTTAAGGATTATAGATATTTAGTAACAGAACAATTGAAAATGTTACCAGAGAAGCTAATGTAATTAGACAAACTCAAAAATGTATATTTATAATTCTAATATGCACTAAATAACTGTATATATTATTTTATATTTATAATAACTAGGGGGTGATCTTGAATATAAACACCGACTTATATTTAAGTATAAGTATAGCTATCAAAGAATTCATTTACCGAATTTTCTAATAAGTCTAAAGTATAACCATTTTGATTCTACACGTGAGAGTAAAAGTGTTGCCAATAAAAATTATATATTGGAGAAGAGCACATTTACACTATGTCTATCTTTTACCACTAAACCACCAGCACTTGGTTAACTATATGTTTGTCATATATTTGTTAAAACAATATCATAAGTAAACTTGATCATTAGAGGATGCGCTAAGACGAGACTTCAGAAAAATCTGTTTTGAATTAAATTCAAACCAATCGATCAGAATTCTATCTTCTAAGATTGTCTCATCGGAACTATACAGAATCATATTGAACATCGCTTGCTTAGCCAAAAGCTTTGTTTTCATTAGCCGTACCAATAACACTGTAGCTGGGTTAGTAAAGCAGGTTTTAAATGTATGTGATCCAAATCCAATTTAATGAATGAAATTCATATTTGGACCCATAAAAATATAAACTAGATCATTTATTGAGCATGTTATATATATATATATATCATGAATTTCATGCATATTTTCAGCAGAACTCACACTATTTTATATATGATATCACGTTATTTATATAAACCACATACAAAATAACTATATGTTTGTCATTTATTTATGATTTTACCACGCCTTTTTCCAAATAATATCTCCATATAATCATCTAGGAAATGTACCCTATTAACTATTGTAGATATGGTATTTTTGAAGAATCTCTCAAAATTGACATAAAATGATGTTTCTAAGGATTATATGAGTGGAGAGACTCATTATGAATACGAATGATAGAAATACCATAGAAACCTTTATCAACACCGAATGTCTGAATCATATATCTTGGCAGAAAACACACATGTCTACATCATTTAGGTGTATTACTCGGTCTTAACGTCATGCTGACCTAATAATTATAAATTTGTTGAATTGAAAATGGTGTGTTTTTGGGTCAAAGTTAATGTGAGTTTTAGAAATGTATTTCCTTTCCTAATATCCTTTAGGAACCGCGTCATCATAAACCAGTGAAAATAGGTAACAATGCTATAATTATAGTGACATGTATTATTGTGGATATGACTTCTTTTCAAGCTTCGAAGGTGATTTGGTAGATCCTATTAGTTTAGTGGATATTTTATTTGATACTTAATTAGTCTGATAGAAAGTAACTAAAATGAGCTTTGAGAATGTTGAATCATAATTGGCTGACAGAATAAAATGCAATAACTTAAGTGATCCAATTGTTCACTTATAATTGGGAAAAGAAAAAGGTCCTTTTCACATTAAAAAAAAAAAAAAAAAAAGCCAGTGGTTGGTAGAAAAAGGCTATTTAGGAGGAGTCTGTGTTTATGTGGAATGAAAGCTCGGCCCATACGTTAATCATGAAACGAGAAGACTCTTATGCCTCTTTTAGTTATTTTCTTTTAATCCATTTTTACAATAAAAATCCTGGATTTTTTAAAAAACTTCTTTTACAATCAAAATCTTGGATTGACGTTTAATAATCTTTGAAGTCTATAAAGCAGTTGTTAGATCACCGATTCTCAAATTACTGTAATTGTTTTATCATTCAATCATACTAGTTACAACGTTCATACCGTAGCAACTAGCAACCTTTACAAATCACATTCTTTATTTTATAATATCGAGTCACTCATACATCTACATGTTGCATTCATCTTATTTTGCATTTCCATTCGTGACCATTATACTTTTGAAACTTTATTAAAAAAAAAAAATTGGAGTATTGAAATGCTTATCATGAATATTCTAGTGATCAATTAAATGTTGGCACCGCTTTACTGAACTTTTCTCAGCATATTATTGTGAATATATGATGTGTCATTTTATCTTCAAATCTGGATAAATATGATTAGTTTGGTCACTTGTAACAAAACTTTTTCTTTTATATAATCAATCCAAAAGCTTGAGCTAAGGTTTTAGAAATGGGACACATGTCATCAAGTGTGCTATATATGTAGAAATACATTGTTCCATATGTACCACTAAAGGCACTTTCCTTTCTCCACCGAATTCCAAACAGCAATGTCGATAGAAAGTTCTTGTCCAAATGTTATTCAAATATTGTTCTTTTTTTTTCTTTTTTTTGCTGTAATTAGACGAAGCTCCATACTCTTATATAGTCATGGACGGTGCATGCTTCACTGTTCATACAATCATATACTTATTGAGTGTTTAGGTCGGTTTCACGATTTACTATGTAGCATCAAAGATTTACTTGTTTTTTCTTTTTATTTTGAACATAAGATTTACTTGTTATAGTAGTAATTAGTAAACAAGATATGTACGGCCGTTTTTGAGAGGTCTAAAGCATTTAAAAAAAATATATGGCCTTTTGATTTTTATATTGATATTTTTTATTTATTATACGTGGAATTCAATTTCTTTAGGGATGTGAAAGAAAAAGCATGTGAATTAGTAATAGAGGGTAGAAAAATGCACAATCGCAATAGAAAAGGACAATGCATGAAATTTCATTTATACCAAATTGAACCTCAACATGTTAACGTAAACATTTTTATTCCAACTTGTCCTTTTCTAGGGAAGAATATTAAACACCAAATTTTAATATTTTGATAGAGCAAACAACACCACAATGCGAACAAATCAATTCATAATTCAGCTCCAAACCATAATAATTCATGATATCGAGATCCTTTCTATATAGGGTTATCTTACCGATTCTTAACAAATTAGGTAACTTTAAAAAAATTTAGTCGAATAAGGCGTCAATATAGTTTAACGTCAAATTATTATTGGTGTAGTTAATATCATATTTTGATCTAATGGTATATTTGTGTACGTACGTGCGTAATTAACTTCTATGTGAATAATTAAGGAAGTGGACATAGGTGGAGAGACATAACTGGATGGGGCAGGCAGATAATGATAATATTGTCCTCCATATTAGCCCATCCAATTTATTGTGACACATGATTCTCTCTCCATTCCTTGAACATGCTTTATATTTATTTATCCTTTTAAGCAAAAAATTATTGGGAAAAAATAATAATATATGCTTCCTTTGTTTTTTAAAGTAAGATGTTTTAGGTTTTTTTCTTGTTTTTAAAAGTTTGATATTTTAGATTTTATTTAATTTTTTAGTTTTACAAAAAACCTTTTAGCAATTGAAAAGAGAAAAGTAATGTTAAGATAATAATAAAAAACAAAAAGTAATTAAAAAGTAAAGAGAAAAATAATTATAAAATTATATCTTAAAATGTATGAAAATCCTAAAACATCATACTTTTAAAAACGGAGGAAGTAAAGTTTATCACACTAATCACATAAAATCATTTAACAGAACGTTTATGTCTAATAATAGTAAACACAAACGAACTCTTATAAAACAATTATTTATAGATTTTGGATTTTAGTTGATATATCAAAGTAATATTTAAAATATTAAAACTAGTTTATGTGAAGATTTGTTCTTATTAATTGGTCATGAAATTTTTCTCATTTGATAAAATAATAATAAAAATATTAAGTTGAAGAGATGAATCCCATGATCGTGAAGATAAAAGAGGGTATATAAGTTGATCTAATCCTTTAACCTCTTATCCCTTGATCTTCTCTATTTTATTTAAAATATTAA